GCTGAGTAAAAGTAGTTAGAGAGGTTGAAGGGTGGGATGGGAAGAGAGGTAGAAAGAGATGAGGCACTGGGCACAAATGACAGGCTGGTGAAACAGACAGCCCTATTGATTTCTGCCGCGAACCGCATTCTGCAGGAAAGAATGGAAATCCACTACACCAAGTGCATAGCAGACAGATCCCTTTGAAAAGCAGTTAGATGCCATCTAATCCCAAATCATTTAAAAACAATTTTGGAGTACCCAGAATTTTAAAATGCCCTAAGTAGTTTGTCTCTTACACTAGAAGAACCGTGAAATGGATGGAAAAACAGTATTTTCATGGTGTTTTCCTCTCATATATTGTGTTTAATTGTGCAACTTAAATAGTGTGTTAAAATTGCATTTTATTTTTAAAGATTTTATTTATTTATTTGACAGAGAGTTAGTGAGAGCAGGAACACAAGCAGGGAGAGTGGGAGAAGGAGAAGCAGGCTTCCTGCCGAGCAGGGAGCCCAATGTGGGGCTCAATCCCAGGACCCTGGGATCATGACCTGAGCTGAAGGCAGACGCTTAACCGCTGAGCCACCCAGGCGCCCCTAAAATTGCATTTTAGATATGTACAAATCTGGGGGGTAAGATATAGTCCCTTGAATATTCTGAAATACACCAAACATAGGCTATGGAAGAAACCTTACCAGATACCTTTCTTTAAAAAAAAAAAGAAAGAAAGAAAAAGTTTATTTTGATATAATTTTAGACTTTTAGAAAAGTTACAAAAATAGTATAAAGAACTCTCATTACCCACATTTCCCAAATATTAACGTTTTGTCGTGTTTTCTTTATTTTTTCTTCTTTTAAATAATACTGTTTTACGAGGTACATCTTCCAAAACTCCATTTGAAGAAACTGTCATGTCATGTTACGCCACACAGAGATACAGGGCTGGGGAGATGACCTCAAGCAGAAGAGAAAGTGTGGAAAAGGGGTTGGGGAGTCAGATGATAGCTGAGTGATTCCTAATCTTTTTGGTTTTGAGGCATCATGTGGTTGTTTTATTTTGTAATTAAAGTGAATTTTATTTTGAAATACAGAATACTCCCTGAGATAACTGAATAGTCCCAAAGTTAAAAATCAGAGTTAGAAGGATGAGTTGTGATATGTATAGTGGTGTGAGAATGACAAGGGAGAATTAAAAGTTAAAAGAAAAAAAAAAATGGAAACAGCACAAGAATATAAAATAGAAATCAAGAGCTTCCAAACGGTGAAAATTTGGTCATTTACAAAGAACCAGTTTGCCTGAAGAACAAAGACAACAGAATGGGGCTTAAAGCAGTCGAACTCTGGGGTGGCTGAGGGGAGGGGGTAGGGATCCGGGAAAGAAAGCAATCACTCAGAGAAACCAAGGATTTTAGAAGTTTTCAAAGAAGGAAAGGGAGAGTTTTACAATAATCCCAGGACCCCAAGATCATGACCTGAGCCGAAGTCAGACACCTAGCCAACTAAGCCAGCTAGGCACCCCGAGAGTATCTTTCATAGAGCAGAAGTTTTTTTTTTTTTTTAATAAGTTTTTATTGTTATGTTAACCACCACACATTACATCATTAGTTTTTGATGTAGTGTTCCATGATTCATTGTTTGTGCATAACACCCAGTGCTCCACGCAGAATGTGCCCTCTTTAATACCCATCACCAAGCTAACCCATCCCCCCACCCCCTCCCCTCTAGAACCCTCAGTTTGTTTTTCAGAGTCCATCGTCTCTCATGGTTCATCTCCCCCTCCGACTTACTCCCCTTCATTCTTCCCCTCCTGCTATCTTCTTCTTCTTCTTCTTTTTTTTTCTTAATGTATATTGCATTATTTGTTTCAGAAGTACAGATCCGTGATTCATCAGTCTTGTACAATTCACAGTGCTCACCATAGCACATACCCTCCCCAATGTCTTATCACCCAGCCACCCAATCCCTCCCACCCCCCACCACTCCAGCAACCCTCAGTTTGTTTCCTGAGATTAAGAATTCCTCATATCAGTGAGGTCATATGATACATGTCTTTCTCTGATTGACTTATTTCACTCAGCATAACACCCTCCAGTTCCATCCACGTCGTTGCAAATGGCAAGATCTCATTCCTTTTGATGGCTGCATAATATTCCATTGTGTACATATACCACATATTTAGAGCAGAAGTTTTTAATGATGTCCAGCTTCTCAGTTATTTCTTTCATAGATCAGGCATTTGATGTTGTCTCTAAAAAGTTATCACCATAGCAAAGGTCATCTAAATTTTCTCCAGTGTTCTCTTCTAGGAGTTTTATAGTTTTGAATTTTACATTTAGGTCTATGATCCATTTTGAGTTAATTTTTGGAAGTGTGTAAAGTCTGTCTAGATTCATTTTTGGTATGTGATGTCCAGTTGTGCTAGCACTGTTTGTTGAGAAGATTTCTTTTTGGCTCCATTGTATTGCTTTTGCTTCTTTGTCAAAGATCAGTTGACTGCATTTATGGGGATCTATTTTTGGTCTCTCTGTTCTGTTCCATTGATCTGTGTGTTCTTTTACCAACACCACACTGCCTTCCTGTAGGTTTATAGTAAGTCTGGAAGTAGAGTAGTATCAATCTTCCAGCTTTGTTACTCTCCTTCAATGTTGTGTTTACTAATCTGGGTCTTCTGCCTCTCCATATAAACTTTAAAATCAGTTTGTTGATTTCCATAAAATAACTTGCTGGGATTTCAGTTGGGATTACATTGAATCTATGGATCAAGTTAGGATATCTTGACAATATTGAGTCTTCCTATCCATGAACATGAATCTTGTTACTATTATTTAGTTCTTCTTTGATTTCCTTCATCAGAGTTTTGTAGTTTTCCTTATATAGATCTCGTCTGTATTTTGTTAGATTTATACTTAAGTAGTCTAGTTTTTTGCTTGCTAATGTAAATGGCATTGTGTTTTAAATTCAAATTCTGTTTGCTGGTATAAAGCAATTGATTTTTGTATGTGAACTTTGTATCCTGCAACATTGCTACAATCACTTATTAGTTTCAGGAGGTTTTTGGATTCTTTTGGATTTCCTATATAGACAGACAATCATGTCACCTTGAACAAATACAGGGCTTTTGTTTTATTTTTCCTTCCCAATCAGTATACCTTTTATTTCCTTTTCTTGTCTTACTGGACTAGCTAGGACTTCTAGTACAATGTTGAAAAGGAGTGGAAAAGGAGTTGCCTTATTCCTGACTTAGCAGGAAAGCTTCTAGTTTCTTGGCATTAAATATGATGCTAGATGTAGATTTTTTATTGATTTTTTTTTTCTTAATTTTGGAGAGAGGGAGCATGAGTGTGGGGAGGGGCAAAGGGAGAGAATCTCAAGCAGACTCCCTGCTGAGCGTGGAGCCTGCCACAGGGCTTGATCTCATGACCCTGAGATCACAACCTGAGCTGAAACCAAGAGTCACATGCTTAACCGACTGAGCCACCCAGGTGCCCCAATTTTTCTTACAGATTTTTAAAAATTGAGTCAAGTAAGTTCTTCTCTAAGTTTATATTAATTTTTTTTTTTTTTTTAGATTTTATTTATTTATTTGAGAGAGGGAGAGGGAGAAGCAGGCTCCCTGCTAAGCAGGGAGCCTGATGTGGAGCTTGATCCCCTGGGATCATGACCTGGGGCAGACACTTAACCATCTGAGCCACCCAACTGCCCCTGTATTCCTTCTTTTTAAAAGCTGAATACTATTCTATTGTAGATATATCCACATTTTGTTTACGCATTTATCGATTAGTGGATAGTTGGGTTGCTTCCACCTTTCTGGCTATTGTGAATAATTCTGCTATGAACATGGGTGTCCAAGTAACTGTTTGAGACCCTGCTTTCCATTCTTCTAGGTATAAATGCTGGATCATATGGTAATATTTTCATTTTATTGAGTTTATTGAATATTATATGCAAAATTTTATATACAAGGATATTCACTGCACTGATGTGTATAATAGCAAAAATTTGAAAGCAGCCTTGCTATGTATCAGTAGGTGATTGGTTACATAATTAGACAGTACATCCATACAATGAAGTATACTGCAGCTGTTTAGGAAGATCTGTATGTTTTGACATGTCAGAATGTCTAGATAGATTATAATATGAAAAAAGCAAATTATAAAATAATATGTTAATATGAACCTGTTTTTTTTTTAATAGGTTCTATTTACTTATGAGAGAGAGATAGAGAAAGAATGGGAAGGGCGAGGGGCAGAGGGAAAGGGAGAAGCCGACTCCGTGCTGAGCTGGGAGCCTGATGTGGGGCTCTGTCCCAGGACCCTGAGATTGTGACCCAAGCTGAAGGCAGATGTTTAACCAACTGAGCCACCCAGGCACCCTGCATATGAACCTGTTGTTGTTTTTTTTTAATTTTATGTATGTATGTATGCTTCAAAAAAATTTTTTAAGGATAACACACTTCTGTAGGTTGAGGGGGATGAGGGGATAGATTATAAGTGCAGTAGAAGAGCAGACCTTTATCTTACTACTTTACAAGTTACTGCATCATATGTATCATATCAGGATTTATAAGAGGCACAGTTTTATAAGAAGAAAAACCAATTTAAGTGATTGTAGTTTTGGAAAAAATAAAGCTTAACTTCCAATTGTGAAACACAAAGAAAATGTTATCTATCTCATTACTTACTGAGGGTTTTTATGTCTACAATGTCAAATGCACATCGCTGAGATCTTTAAAGTATCTTTTTTATTGTTATATGTAATATGAAGGGTATTTATTGTCTTGTGGCCTGATATATAAAATTAGCTCAGTGAATTTCTATCAAAATGGTTTTACGTAAGGAAAATGTTCTTCCATTTTTGGATCATACTTGAATGGTGCTATCCATTTCCTGTGACTTGGTGTGGTGAGGTATGTAGTGGAATCGTAGGCTTCCTCTGCTCTTGAGGAAAACATTGCTTCATTTTAAGAATTGTGTTACACTACACACTGAATTTTGTTCCTTTGCCTTTTCTTCTGACAGTAGATCTTCATGGAGGAGCACGGAGTGACCCAAACCGAACACATGGCTACCATAGAAGCCCATGCAGTTGCCCAACAAGTACAGCAGGTCCATGTGGCCACCTACACTGAGCACAGTATGCTGAGTGCTGATGAAGACTCACCTTCTTCTCCTGAGGACACCTCTTACGATGATTCAGACATACTCAACTCCACAGCGGCTGATGAGGTAACAGCCCATCTAGCTGCTGCAGGTAATACTGTTTGGATCAGAAGCTCTTCATTTTTTTTCTTAACCTCTGGTATTGTGCATATCTGCAAGGGCCTAGAATGCAGGCATTCTCACATATATCACATTTTCATGATTTTTTAAGCCTTGCATTTACAGCTTATGCCTGTATTCTACTGAGACTTAAGATCTAGAATGGCATACTATTAATGATATGACTTTGGTTTTGTTTTTTTCATCCATTCTAACAATCATTTGACTTCTTACTAAAACATTTAGTCCATTTACAGTAAATGTAACCACTGGTATATTTAGGTTTAAATTTATCATGTTTACAATATGCTTTCTTTCTCTTCATCCCACTTACTCTGTGTTTACTTTTCCTTTGTGTTTTAGAGGGACTGAGAAGTTTTTAATTTTTTTTTCTTGTTCGTTTGGAAGTTATACACACTTTTACTATTAGTGGTACCCCAGAAATTATAATACATCCTTAACTTATTTCAAAGTCTTCTGTAATTGGTACTTTTGTCCTTTTAAGGGATAATGCAAGTTTCTTAGAACACTTGAATTTTATTCTCCTGCTTCTGACCTATATGCTATTGTTATTCTGTGTATTAATTCTTTGTATATTTTAAGCCATACAAGACATTATTTTTGTTTTATACCTAATGTTCATTTTTTCCTTTATATCCAGCTTGTCTTCTGAGAATTTTTCTTCTATGTAAAGATAACATTTAATATTTCCTTCAGCATGGAAGTCTCTCAGTTTTTCATTGTCTGAGAATGTTTTTATTTAACTTTCAATCTCAAAGGATGTTCTCACTGGGTATAGAATTTTAGGTTGGCACTTATTTTTTTCCCCTCGTATTGAAGATACTGTTCCCACTAGTTTCTGTCCTTGCTTTTCAGAATTCAGCTGTTTCATTCTAACAGTTGCTCCTTTGAAGGTTATCTCCCACATAGGTCCCTCCTCCAACTGTTATTAAGATTTTCTCTGTCTTAAGTTTTTTGTTTTTCTGTCTTCAGTTTTTGTGATACATCTGGCTTTGGACTTCTCATTTATTCTGTTTAGGATTCTTTGAACGTCTTGAATCTGTGGATTGATGTCTTTCGTCAATTCTGGAAAATCTTAGTCACTAGATTTTTTTTTTTTAAGATTCTTTTTATTTATTTGAGAGAGCGAGAGCGTGCACAAGAAGGGGGGAGGGGGAGAGGGAGAAGGAGAAGCAGACTCCCCACTGATCAGGGAGCCTGATGTGGGGCTCGATTCCAGGTCCCTGGAATCATGACCTGAGCTGAAGGCAGACGCTTGACCCACTGAGCCACCCAGGCTCCCCTTAGTCACTAGATTTTGCTTCAGTTTTGCTTCTGCTCCATTCCATCTTTTCCTTCTGTGACTCCAATTAAATATGTTAGTTTTCCTCATTGAATCCTTTATGTCTCTTACCCTCCATTCTATATTACCATCATTTTGTCTCTTTATGTTTCACTCTATGTTGTTTCTTCAAACTGTCTTCCAGTTTATTAATTTTTCTCACCAACTGTGTCTGAGGTGATTTAAATCTGTCTACTGAGGTACTAATTTTAGTAATAGTTAATAGTTTCATTTTTTTTTTTGTTTTAGAATTTCTAGTATGTTTTTTCCCTCCCAAATTTGTACTATTATAGTTTCCAATTGTAGTAGAAAAAAAAAAGTTTTTTAAATCTCTGGGAGTGAAGTGAGCATCATGATTTTACAATACATTTGGTAATTCTCTGAAGCGCCCATGGGTCTTTTTCTGTTATATGTTGTTAGTGCTATTTCTTGTTTATGTTAGTTTTTCTCTTCATGTATTGGTTATATTTAAATGAATGCTGGATGGTGTGTTTGGAAATTTATTTTTAGAAATAATTTGGGGTCTAGAATAGTATTATTGTCCTCTAGAGAGGATTTTTGTTTGCTTCTGCCAGATGCCTGAGGACACTAGCAATCCTGGATTATCTTAATCCAATTTAAGGTTTGAGATTTTTCTGGGCCACTAAATGACTTAAAGCTGGGCTGTATTTTGTACCATTCCTTTGCTATTTACATTGTATACTTAGCACTATGGGGAAGACTCCATGTAAACCATGCCTGGATGGGTTTAATATTGTATAAGGAACATTGATCTTAGAAGATATTTAGGGAAAGTTGGACAGTAAATCAGTTATCAGGAATGACCAAAATACTTCATCTTTTTTTAGTATGTGCTGTATTTAAGGAAAAGAAGACAAATGTGATGAAAAACAACCTTATTACTCTCAGTTATAATCCACTGTGTATTTCTGGAATTGTGAATTTAAAATAAGGCTCAGTGGCAGAACACATTTGAGATGTTTGTAAAATACATTTTGAAATATTTATACTTCCCAGAAGAGGGCATCCTAACATAATGAATGCAGGTCAACCGCTTTCCTAGGAAGGAAGATGCTTTTGAGACATAGTTTTGCTGTATTACTATACTGCACTGTCATAGTGTTAAAATTAGGAAGGGACTTTAATCTAACATTTTCACGTGGCAGATATGGAAACTGAGGCCCAGCTGGTAGAAATGATTTACCATTTAATCATTCAACAATTATTGAGGAATTACTGTATGCTCTATATCACTGTATATTAATACTATGAACAAGACAGGAAAGAGCTTGCTCCTAATGTAGCTTACAGGCTAGTGGTAGGGAGAAGGGTACAAATAATAAAGTAAAATAATTTCAAAAAGCACTGAATACTCTGGAGGAAATAAGGTGAATGGAGAGGGAAGGGAAGGAGATTGCTGCTTTTCTAATCCTATTCTCTTCCCTCCCTCCACTGAGGTAATCACTATTCTAAATTTGATCTTTATCATTCTCATGCAGTTCTTTTATTTCTGCTGTATATGTATGTATCAATAAATAATACTTAGCATTGTTTGGCATGTTTTAAATTTTATAAAAATGATAACACTCTAATCCTTTCTCTCTGTAACATTGTTTATCTCATTCAGTATTATTTTTTTGAGATTCATTCATGTTGATAATGTGGCAGTATGTTTTTATTTTAAGTGTGATTTGGTATTCCATTCATTATCTGAAAATGACATATATTGGTATAGCGTTTAGGCTGTTTATAAGTTTTTCCTATTACAACAACTGCAAATGAAGATTATTTTATCTTTTCTTGTGCAAATTGTGGGAGTTTCTTTTGGCATTGGTTTTCAAACTCTTGACATTTCCCATAGTGATAACATTTTACATTGTGGTCTGGGATAAATGAATGCACATATAACTGGAATAACAATTTCTCATGGAGTAATACTTACCCTTCTGCCATGACACACCCACTGATATGTTTTAGTGTCTTTCATTTTATTCCATTTTATCAAAAAACAAAAGCTACTCATGAACCACCAAAGAATAGAAACCTGCAGTTTGAAAACACTGCTGAAGGGTATATCCAGGAGGATAATGAGAGGGCAAAGATGGGCACATTTTCAACTTTACTAAATATTCCAAATGTCTTTCCAAATCATTGTATCAATTTACATCCCCACACAGCATGCTGGAGTGCGTGTTGCTTCCAGTCCTCACCATATTTGGAATTGTTAATCATTTTTTGTTTTTGCCAGTCTGATGAAATAGTATCTCATTGTCTTTTTAATTTGCTCATCTCTGAGCTAGAGATTCTAGCCAGTGCAGGAAGACAAGATAGAGTGCCATTCAGACTACTGAAGTGACTTTTTATTGACTATTGCTTTTCTTCTTTTGCATATTTCCTCTTTATGCCTTTGCCCAATCAGGTTGGTTTGTCATTTTTTCTTACTGTAAGAGTTATTGATATATTTTTTAATACTGTTCTTTTCTTGATAATATACATTGCATTTAGTATCTTCTCCCAATTTGTTGACCACTCCTTCCCTCAATTTTTTATTATTTCTTTTGTCCATAAAGGTTTTAATTTATATTATTGTGAAATTTATCAGTCTTTTACCTTACTGTTTATCCTTTTGGAGTCTTATTTAAGGAATTCTTACCCCTGAGTTCATAAGTACTCTACAGCAGTTTATTGCAGAAGTTACAAAATTCTTTGTTGTTTTAATTTAGCTCTTTAATTCACCTGGATAATATTTTTGTGTATATGATATAGGGATCTAGTTTCATTATTTTCCCATACAATCATTTGTCCCAGTACCATATTTTTAATAGTTCATCCATTTCCCACCTCTGTCTTCTGACACAGGGAAGGTGTTTGTGAACTCTTAATTCAGTTGCATTGGCTTGTTTGTTTATCCTTCAGCCAGTTCCGTACTGTCTTAATGACTGTAGCTTTATAGTCACTACTGATATTTGATAGGATGAGTGCACCTTTTTAAATTCTTAAAATTCTTCACAATTATTCTAGCTGTTTTTGGCCTTTTGCACTTCCATTTAAGTTTTAGGATCAGCAGAAAAAACCCATGCTGGGACTTTTATTTGAATTGTATTGAATTTATAAATTAATTAAGCGCCTTTATTCATAATAGCCTAAAACTGGAAATTACCCAAATGTCTATCAATAGGATAACGGATAAACTGTGATTTATTTATATTCTGGAATATTACTCATCAATAAAAAGGAACAAACTACTAACACATATAACAGTGTGGATAAATCTCAAAAACATTATTCTAAGTGAAAGAAACCTTATACAAAAGAATATATACTGTATGAGTCCATTTATTTCAAGTTCTAGAATAGATAGGGCTAAAATAGGGTGAAAATCAGAATTGTGGGTACTTTTGAGAGATTGGGTGGGAACTGACTGAAAGGAGACATGAGAGAACTTTCTGTAGTGGTGGTATTGTTATATATCTTGATAGGAGATTGGTTATCATAAGTACATTTTCAAAATTTATGGTACACTTACACAAAATTGAATGTACACTTAATATTTGTACATTGCATTATATATACATTTTACCTCAAAAGAAAAAATTGAAAAGAAGTATTGAACTCTAGCTAATGATATTCCCACTGAATATTTAGGGGACTCATACTGCAGTTTACATGCATCAGAATAAAAAAATGATATGGATTGATGAATGGATAGAAAGATGGATGGGGTGCCTGACTGGCTCACTAGAGCATGCAACTCTTGATCTTGGGGTTGTGAGTTCAAGCCCCATGTTAGATGTAGAGATTATTTAAAAATTTTTTTTAAATCTTAAAAAAATAAAAAAGATGGATAGATGTATATGGTAAAATGTTATGGTAGAGTGGTAGATATATGAATGTTCACTAAAAAATTCTTTCAACTTTGCTCTATATTTGAAAGTTTTAGTAGTAAGGTATTGGACTCTTACAGATCAATAGAATAAAAACAAATAAGCTAATTAAAAAATGGACAAAGAACTTAAGTAGACATCTCCCTAAAGAAGACGTACAAGTGGCCAAGAAGCCCGTGAAAAAGATGTTCACATTACTAATCATCAGGGAGATGCAAATCCAAACCACAATGAGTTGCTATCTGACACCTGTTAGGATGACTTTTATCAAAACAACAACAAAGGATAAATATTAGCAAGGATGTGGAGAAATTGGAACCCTTAACATGCTGTTGGTGGGAATATAAAATGGTGCAGCCTTTATGGAAAACGGTATAAAGCTTCCTTAAAAAATTAAAAATAGAACTACCCTATGATCCAGCAATTTCACCTCTGGGTACATATTCAAAAGAATTGAAATCAGGATCTCATAGAGTATTCACATTCCCATGTTCATTATTCACAGTAGGCAAGATGTGGAAGCAACTCGTGTCCATTGACAGATGAATGGGTAAAGAAAATGTGGTATTTGTATAGAATGGAATATTATCCAGCCTTTAAAAAGAAGGAAATCCTGCCATGTGCAACAACATGGGTGAAACTTGAGGGCATTATGCCAAGGGAAAGAAGCCAGTTACAGAGAAGGACAGATACTGCATGATTCCACTTTACATGAGGTATCTAGTCAAACTCAAAGAAACAGTGGTAGAAGGGTGGTTGCCAGCAACTGGGGTATGGGAATGAGAGTTGCTCTTCAGCAGGTATAAAGTTTCAGTTATGCAAGATGAATAAGTTCTAGAGATCTGGTCAACATTGTGCCTATCTTTAACTGTATTGTACACTTAAAAAATTAATATGGTAGATCACATATATTAAGTGTTCTTATCACAGTTAAAAAATAAAATACTGGGAAAAAATGTATCAATAGGATTTTTTTTATCTAGCAGCTATTTACAATGGAAATGAAGGTTAAAGCATTAATTTATTTTTTGACTTGCTCTGGGGCTCTTTAGAGGAGTTTATTTAAGTCAGACTGATTATACTACTAAATAACATGTAGAGAGATCTGTCTAGATTTTCAGGGAGGCTTATTTTAATTGAGCTCCTTAGACCATATATAACATATGTGCTAGTGTAAATGTGAGTGGTTAAACTTAATTTTCATATAAGCCTTTTATAGGGTTTACAAATAAGGATAAAAGTGGATCATCTGCTTTAAAAAGAAAAAGGAATGTCCTTGATATGTTGAGATTCCAGAATCAGAGACTCCAATAATTCCTTAGGGTCTACCCTTTATTTTAATAATTAGTTTGAGGGCAAGCCAGACCAACTTTTATTAACATTTTTCCCTTAGAATGGGATAGTTTTCATCTCCTTCCTGCCAGCATGCTTTCATCAGTTTAACTTTGTGGTCAACAGCTCCATTTTAGGCACAATTCTCAGATATATAAGAAGAAATTTCCAATTAAGATAATATTCTTCCAGCTATTCCTCTTACGGATGTTGTTGTTACTATTTGAGTTCCAAGCATGAGTGATTATCTCTCTTCCTTAACTTGGCAGTGTCTTGGGGTAATGGAAAGAGGGGCACAGGGATGGAAATGAAATTTGAAATCTGTGATTCTTTTGGCAAGCTCTTCCTCTCAATGCTGAGATTTCATTTAGCACCTCTGAGAATATTGCCTTCGCAGTATGCGCATGCTGGCAAAACACAACACAACATTATGTAAAATTTAGCTAGTGTATGGTGGCGAGGTGTTTAAGTCAGTCACTTTGTAGATTCCTTGTAAGTTTCATTGGTAAATGAAAATATGATTTGTGTTGAACAATAGTGAACTATGTTAATATCAGGAACATTCTATATTTACTGAGAACATATTAGGAAATAAAGGCTACCTTTCTTGTGCCTTTAATTGCTTTCTGTCTCGTAGAGCTGACGGGCTTTGCCTGATCTCAGCACCCGCGTTATTGTTTCAGGTCCGGTGGGAATGGCTGCTGCCGCTGCAGTAGCAACAGGAAAGAAGCGGAAACGGCCTCACGTGTTTGAGTCTAATCCATCTATCCGGAAGAGACAGCAAACACGCCTGCTTCGGTGAGGGCTCCCTTCTCCGTGCTGTTGCTGTTCCTCCAGCACTTCGTGGTGTGACAGGCATTACTAGGTGCACTGAGGATACCGTCGGAGTCCTTGATAGCAGAATTAGACTTGAAAGTACTCCTGTGAAATCAAACACATGAAACTAGAAAGGATGAACAGATGTAGAATACCACATCATTTCATTCAGAGAAAATTTCTATGCCTGCACTGTGCCAGACATTGTTCTAGGCCTTGGGAATATAACCATAAATAAAACAAATTCCCTGAAAGAGCTTATAATCCAGTGGAGGAAAAAAGAAAATAAACACATATGTAATGTGTCAAATGATGATAAGTACTACGGAAAAAAAGTGGAGTAAGGAAAAAAAGAAAAGAAAGGTTTGGGGGGGATATAGTAGTTTCTCTTTTTTTATAGGGATGGTCTGGGAAATCCTCTTTGACAGGCAACCTCTGAATGGAGACCTAAAATAAGTAAAGGGGCATGACTGATGTCTAAAGGAAGAGCTTTTCAGGCAGAGAGAAGAGCAAGAGGAAAGTTGCACAAGTGGCATGGAATGTGATAATCATGTTTGAGGAATAGCCAGGGAAAGAATGACGGGAGATAGAGTCAGAGCAGTAGTAGAGAGCCACATTATGGGGTCATTGGTCCGGTATAAGGGCTTTGACTCTTGTTCTGAGTGAGATGGGAAGTCAGTGAAGGCTTTTGACCAAAGCAGTGATATGCTCTGATTTATGTTTTCAAAGAAACCATCAGGCTACTGTGTTGAGAGTAGAATTTGGATACACCAGAATGGAAGCAGGGAGAACAGTTAGGAGGTTATTGTAGTAATCCAGGCCAGAAATCACAGGATCTTAAAACCAATATCGCAGCAGCAAAGGTAGTAAGAGGTGGTCATCCTGGATGTATTTCAAAAGTCAACTCCAACATGATTAACTGATGGATTGGATGTGGGGTGTGAGAGCAAAAACAGCAGGGAAGGGGACCTCAAGATTTTTGGTCTGATTACTGGAAGGGTTGAGATGACACTTACTGGAAGAGAGGAGCAGGTATAGGAATGAGTGAGGGTAGGGCAGAATCAGGAATTTGGTTTTGGACACGTCAGGTCTGTGATACCTCTTAACCATTAAGTGGAGAAACAATAAGCAGTTGATATGTGAGTCTGGAATTCAAAGGAGAGATCTTGCTGAAAATGACTAAGTCTTAGATCTTGTCTAAGACTGTGAGACTAGAAGAGGTCACCTAGAGAGTGAGTGCAGACTGAGGCCTGAAGCATTCTACCCTTTAGAGGTTGGAGAGATGAAAGGAATGAACAAAGGAGTCCAAGAAGCTACCAGTGAATCAGGAGGAAAATCAAGAGAGCAATACACTAGAGGGGCGCCTGGGTGGCTCAGTTGTTAAGTGTCTGCCTTCGGCTCAGGTCATGATCCCAGGGTCCTGGGATTGAGCCCCGCATTGGGCTCCCTGCTCCGCGGGGAAGCCTGCTTCTCCCTCTCCCACTCCCTCTGCTTGTGTTCCCTCTCTCGCTGTGTCTCTCTCTGTCAAATAAATAAAATCTTTAAAAAAAGGAGAGAGAGAGCAATACACTAGAAACCAAGTGCAAAGAGTGTTTTAAGAAGGAGGGCGTGTGATCAGCTCTGTCAAATGCTGCTGGCAGGTTGAATAAGATGCAAATTGACCATTAGATTTAGCAACACGGACACGGAGGTCATGGTTGAACTTGGCAAGAGCATTTCCAATGGAGTGGTAAGGATGAAAGGATTGGGGTGTCTTCAAGAGAAAATGGGAAAAGAAGAATTGGAGAGCGTGAATATAGACCATTCCTTCAAGGAATGCTGCCAAATTTCTTGTTTGGCATATGGTCCTTTGCTGAAGATTTTTTTCTGAAGAGTTTGTAGGTTGCACAGAAAGATTATCACGCAGGTATAGTACACAGAGGACTTAATATTTGATGGTTGTACAAAATGCGTTCATAGAGGATAAGAAATTTTGTCTATAAAATATTCCAGAAGTTTTTTTCTTGTAGTGTTTTAAATATTATATCCAAAATTTCTAGGTGTTTATTAGAATGTTGAATCCAGATGGAGTGCCAGTCCATGCAAATGATATGTGACAAAAGCTAGAAAATACAGTTTATTTTATAAGAGGAAGATTATAAGAAACTGAAGGAAAAACCCAAAAAGTACTGGATCGGAAGCTTTTGGCAAAGAGTTTATATGCCACCTGATAGGCAGTTCTTCTCATTTCCTTTAATGATGGGATAGGCCAGAGTAATTAGAATGTGTTTTATATAGAAATGTCTTTGCTATAAGGGGCATAGACGTGGTAGTACATACTTTTGGAGAAAGATGGAAAACTAGGCATGTTCGCTCTGTTTCATCTGAATTAATTACTCACCAGTCCCTGGAGAGAGTAGACTATGTTCTCAGAAGGATTATAGAATGTAGAACTTTAAAATAATCTCCCATGATTTCAGAGGAAAAGCCCAACGTTTCTGTGTCATACAGTGTTGATATATTTAAAAAAGCTCTTTTACTTCTTCCTTATTTGTAAAATATCACAGGACCAAGAATTGTTGTTTATATGCAATGAAAATCTAGAAATGACATTTTTGAAGTCGTATTTCTGGATAAAACTGTCAGTGAGACATAAACAATGACATATCCGTCAAAGAAATTAGAAGCAGGTCATTTAGGCCCCCTTCATTAAGCATGGAGATGATATGATAATGTCTACAAGAAAATGTCTCAGCAGTAATCTTTATCGTTATTACAAGTTGCAGTAAGAGAAAACCCCTTTAGTGTTGCTAGGATCAGGAAGAATTAAAGTCTCCATGTTCAGCCTTCTGTCATGGCTGTGCCTGATGCAAACTTGTAGCCGACCCTTGTATCAGTGGGCTAGTCATTGATCTTTAGGACAAAGGTATGCACATATTTCTGCTGAACAAACTCACATTCCCCTTTTCACATTTTGGGTACAACAGCGTATCTAATCAGAATAAATTGTCTCAAGTCAAAGTAAATTTTGTTTCTGTGTCACTGTCATTTCTCTCTTTAACCATTTTTATTCTCTTTTCATTCTCTAATTCAGGAAACTTCGAGCCACATTAGATGAATATACTACTCGAGTGGGACAGCAAGCTATTGTCCTCTGTATCTCCCCCTCTAAACCCAACCCTGTCTTTAAAGTGTTTGGTGCAGCACCTTTGGAGAATGTGGTAAGAAAACTCAGCTGTGTCCTCAAATACTCACTCTTGCTTTCTGTGGGTTGTTGTTTGTTCTTTTGATCCTCTGTCTAGTACAATAGCTATTACTTCTATCCTCCCCTCATCTGGGGGTGGGAGTGGGACTGGTTTTCAAACCATTTTATGTAGATCCAAATGGAAAGGATTATTTCTGTTTGTACTTACTATAACAACATACTCTACCCAAGGGGGGAAAGATGGTGTTATGTTTGTTAAGAAACCACCACCACAGGATCTTGTTGGTTTTTTAATTTAAAGTTATTTATTTATTTATTTATTTATTTATTTATTTATTTAGAGAGAGTGAGTGAGAGAGAGAGAATACGAGCAGGGTGAGGGGCAGAGAGAGGAGCAGACTCCCTGCTCAGCAGGGAGCCCAGTGTGGGGCTTGGTCCCGGGACTCTGGGATCATGACCTGAGCGAAAGGCAGACGCTTAACCCAGTGAGCCACCCAGGTGCCCCAACGATTTTGTAAGAAAATTACTGATTTATGTCGGAAACAAAATGTGAGATAATTCTAAGATGTAAACTTCGTGAGGCAAACCTCAGGAAGCATTTTACTGATTGCTGGTATTTGAGTTCCATATTTAAAATCTCTTGCATTTCTTTGAAGAATTTATTTGACACTGTGCTTCAATTTTGAAATATAGTTGAATATTTTGATTGCCTAACTATCTGTAGCTAAGTTTATAAAGATAGTATTTTACCTTTGTATACTTATACTAAGTGAACTACTCTTTCTCTGGTGGAAATAACTTTGAATCGTTAGTAGAGTAATGGTCTGTCCAGATTTAGATTGCATTTTGTTTTTATTAGGATGACATTTATTAGCTAAAGGGACATTTATTGGATTTCTCACATATCGAATGTAGACATTTCAGGAGTTTAGAACTGATTAGTAAGCAATTGAAATTTTGTTTGTTTTATTGTGGTTTTTTTTTTTCACATACAAATGTTGTGGTTCTTTTTCAACATTTTTGAGTTTTGCCAAAAATTCCTGAGGCCCTAGATTTAGGGTGCATATTAGGACCTTTCCTTAGAAGAATATGGTAGAAGATTTTTAGTTCAAAATGGTGCCTGACAAGCTGTCCTTAGTGTCATGATGTTCACCAACATGAAATCTGGGCATGTCTTCTTTTTTTCAGTATCAAAAATTTAAAATAATTTTACTACTACTAATAGTAATATGATCTGTGAAAAAGACTCATCCAGAAGACTCAGAAAAATACCTCTGAAAATTACTCACTGAAAAGAGGGGTGCCTGACTGGCTCAGCCAGTGGAGCATGTGACTCTTGATCTCGGAGTTGTAAGTTTGAGCCCCATGTTGGGTATAGAGATTACTTAAAACAAAATCTTTTAAAAAAAACAAAAACAAAAAGAAAGTTTGGGAAACTCCTGGAGTCTTCCATACATTATAAAAAGAAACAAACAGTCATATGACAAACTAGACAGAAAAAAAAGCAGTATTTTTTTCATTGACTGACATTTGATAAATACAGGCTGAAGAATAAATACCAGTAGAATTAGAAGCAGAATATGTCTTCCAAAACATTAAAGAGGAAAAAAACAAGTCTGTATAAAAGATTTAAAAAAGAAAACACAAAGTATAGAACAAAGTAATAAAGTGAAGCCAATTAATTCTGTTATAAATCATAAATATAAATGGATTAACTCCTTTGAGAACGACAAAGATTTTCTTTCAGAGTGGAACAACAGTAATCCAAACCAAAACCCAACTGTATTTAATTTATGTGACATACAGTGACTCACAAATGTTCAAAGTAGCTGCAAATGATAACCATTAAGAAAGTGAAAAGGCAGTTCACAGAATGGGAGAAAATATTTGCAAATCATACATCTGACAAATAACTTGAATCCATATAAAGAACTCTTAGAACTGAACAATAAAAAGACAACCCAGTTTTATTTATTTATTTAGAGTGCGCATGTGCAGCAGCCGGGCGGGGGTGGTGGCGGGCAGAGGCAGATAGAGAATCTCAAGCGGGCTACACACCTAGTGTGGAGCCCCACGCAGGGCTCGATCTCACCACCCTGAGATCACAACCCAAACTGAAATCAAGAGTTGGACACTTAACTGGCTAAGCCACCCAGGCACCCCAAGCCCAGTTTTAAAATGGCAAAGAATCTGTCACTATTTGCATATGACATACTACTATACTTAGAACACCCTGAAGACTCCACCAAAAATCTGTTTGAACTGATAAATGAATTCAGTAAAGTTGCAGGATACAAAATTAATATACAGAAATCTGTTGCATTTTTATACATTAATAATGAAGTAAATTCTGCTTCTGAAACCAGTATTGCACTGTATGTTAACTAATTCAAATTTAAATAAAAATTTGAAGAAAAAAATAATGAAGTAGCATAAAGAGAAATTAAGAAAACAATTCCATTTACAATTGCACCAAAAAGAATAAAATACTTAGGAATAAACTGAACCAAGGTGGTGAAAGACTGTACTCTGAAAAAAAAAAAAATACAATGATGGAAGAAATTGATGACAACACAAATGGAAAGATATTTTACGCTCATGGATTGGAAGAATTAATATCATTAAAATGTCCATACTACCCAAAGCAATCTACAGATTCAGTGCAATCCCAGTCGAAATACCAATAGCATTTTCATAGAAGCAGAACAAATAATCCTAAGATTTGTATGGAACCATAAAAGACCTCAAATAGCCAAAGCAGTCTTGAGAAAGAATACAGCGGGAGGTATCACAATCCCAGATTTACATGGTTTTAATAATCAAGACGGTATAGTACTAGCACAAAAACAGGCACATAGATCAATAGAACATAATAGAAAGCCCCAAAATAAACCCACCATTATATGGTCAATTAATCAGTGACCATGGAGGCAAGAATATATAATGGAGGAAAGATAGTCTCTTCAAAAAATGGTGTTAGGAAAACTGGACCACTTTCTTAAACCATACACAAAAATAAATTCAAAATGGATTAAAGACCTAAATGTGAGACCTGAAACCATAAAACTCTTAGAAGAAAACATAGGCAGTGATCTCTTGTACATTGGCCTCAGCAAGATATTTATGGACGTGTCTCCTCAGGCAAGGGAAAAAAAAAGCAAAAATAAATTATTAGGACTACACCAACATAAAAAGCTTTTTGTGCAGCAAAGGAAGCCACCAACATAATGAAAAGGCAATCTACTGAATGTGAGAAGATATTTGTAAATGATACATGTGTCAAGGGGTTAATATCCAAAATATATAAAGAAGTTACACAGCTCAACACCAAAAAAAACCCAAACAATCCAATTAAAAAATGGACAGAGGACCTGAATAGACATTTTCCCAAAACCTACAGATGGCCAACAGACCTATGAGAAGATGCTCAGCCTCACTCATCATCAAATCATCAAATCAAAACCACAATGAGATATCACCTCACACCTGTCAGAATGCCTGGTATCAAAAAGAGGGGCACCTGGGTGGCTCAGTTGGTTAAACATCCAACTCTTGGTTTCGGCTCAGGTCATGCATGATCTCAGGATCGTGAAATCAAGCCCCACTTCAGGCTCTGTGCTCAGTGTGGGGTCTGCTTGAGATTCTTTCCCCCACCATACCTCCCTCCACTCGTATGCACGCTCTCTCTCTCTCTCTCCAAAATAAATAAATAAAACCTTAAAAAAGAAAAAGAAATAACAAGTGTTGGTGGTAATGTGGAGAAAACAGAACACTTGTGTACTGTTGGTAGAAGTGCAGCCACTATGGAAAGCAGTATGGAGGTTGTTGCTCAAAAAATTAAAAATAGAAATACCATACAATCCAGTAATTCCACTACTGGCTATTTATAGAAGATATGAAAACACTAATTTCAAAAAGATACATGTACCCCTATATTTACTGCAGCATTATTTACAGTTGCCAAGATACGGAAGTAACCCAAGTGCCCATCCACAGAGGGATGGATAAAGAAGTGGTAGTACACACACACACACACACACACACAGTGGAATATTACTCAGCCATAAAAAAAAATGAAATCTTGCCATTTGTGACAACATACATAGACCCTAGAGGGTATTATGCTAAGTGACATAAGTCAGACAAAGACAAGTATCATATGATTTCACTTATATGTGAAATCTAAAAAAACAGAACAAAGCAGAAACAGACTCTTAAAATACAGAGAACGAATTGGAGATTGCCAGAGCAGGGTGGTAGGGGATCGGCAAACGGGTGAAGGGGAGTGGGCGGTACAGGCTTCCAATTATGGAATAAATAAGTCATGGGGATGAAAGGTGCAGCATAGGGAATATACTCAATGGTATTATAATAGCATTGTATGGTGACAATAGCTATACTTGTGAGCGTGGCATACTGTATAGAGTTATCAAATCACTATGTTGTAATACCTAAAACTAATGTAAGTTGTGTTCAACTATACTTCCAAGTTTTTAAAAAATGGCAAAGAATCTGAATAGATATTTCTCCAAAGAAGATAGAGAAATGGTCAGCAAGCACATGAGCACTAATGATAGTCATTAGTTATTACGGAAATGAAAATCAAAACCAGAATGAGACCACTTCGTACTTACTAGGATGATTATAATCAAAGAGGTGGACAACAATAAGTGTTGTTGAGAATATGTAGAAATTGGAACCTTCCGTACATTGCTACTGGGAATGTGAAATGATGCAGTTGCTTCAGAAAACAGTTAGATGGGGCGCCTGGATGGCTCAGTCGTTTAAGTGGCTGCCTTCAGCTCAGGTCATGATCCCGGGGTCCTGGGATCGAGTCCTGCGTCGGGCTCCCTGCTTGGCAGGGAGCCCGCTTCTTCCTCTCCCTCCGCCTGCCTCTCTTGCCTACTTGTGCTCTCTCTCTATCTCTCTGTCAAAAAAAATAAATAAAATCTTAAAAAAAAAACAGTTTGGCAATTTCTTAAAATTTTAAAAGTAGAGTCACCACATGACCCAGCA